GAGCGTCTACAACCTGCTCGGCATCCCCCTCGCCAGCGGCGCGCTCGCCATGTACGGCCTGCAGCTGCAGGTAACACGCATCACGTTCTCAATAATGAATTTAATTTAAACATAAACAATAAATTTATCACATCAAATGCTGAGGTTGCTGCTGCATTTGAGAATTTTTTTACTAACATTCCTGTATCAACTACTAAATCTTTGAACTCCTCACCATACCTTGCAGAATCAATTTTAAAAGAGAATGTTAGAAGAATTGATAGTGAATTTAAGTTCCAATATGTGTCCCCCTTTGAAATTATTAAAGCCTTTAACACTATTAATGTTAAAAAAACAACCGACCTATGGGGAAATTCTGTTTTAATTACTAAGACAATTATATCTCTTGTGGCTAATCAATTGTCATTTACATTTAATCAATGTGTTGATAGTGGTGTATTTCCTGATCTTATGAAGTCTAGTAAAATTATTCCCTTATTCAAATCTGGTAGTACATCTGACCCAACTAACTATAGACCTATCTCAGTACTACCAGTATTTAGTAAAATTTTTGAAAAAATTATGTATGATCAATTGCACAGTTTTTTTAATAATAATAATTTATTGCACAATAGACAATTTGGTTTTACAAGGGGTCGCTCCACAACTGATGCTAGTGTTGAGCTAGTAAAACATATATTTGATGCCTGGGAGGATGCCCACGATTCTCTAGGTATCTTTTGCGATTTATCTAAGGCTTTTGATTGTGTTGTTCATGAAACGCTGATCAGGAAATTACAGCACTATGGTATCAAAAATAAAGCCCTGGAACTACTTGCCTCATATCTATGTAATAGGATTCAAAAAGTTGATATTAATGGTGAGCGGTCTCCAGGCTCTGTGATAGAAATGGGCGTTCCACAGGGTTCTATTCTCGGCCCTTTTTTGTTTTTAGTATATATTAACGACTTACCTCACTTTGTCAAGGACAATCTCGAGATTGTGTTGTTTGCAGATGATACATCACTATTATTTAGACTAAAACGGACACTTTCTGATTTCACATTTGTAAACAGCGCCATTTCGAAAGTGGTTCATTGGTTTGATGTCAACAATTTACTATTAAATGAACAAAAAACTAAGTGTATACGTTTCACTATGCCAAACGTCAAGCCAGTGAAAACTACTGTGATAATTAAGGATGTCGGGCTGGACCTTGTGGACACTACGACATTTTTAGGTATAACACTAGATGCTAAGCTACAGTGGGGCCCACATATTGATAAATTGTCGAGTAGACTCAGCTCAGCAGCATACGCAGTAAGGAAAATCCGAGAGTTGACTGATGTTGATACAGCACGACTTGTTTACTTCAGTTACTTTCATAGCATAATGTCGTACGGTATTCTGCTGTGGGGGAATGCTGCCGACATTCAAACTATTTTTGTGCTGCAAAAGAGAGCTATTCGAGCACTTTATAATTTAGGCAATCGTTGTTCATTGAGGCAGAAATTTAAAGAAATAAATATAATGACAGTGGCAAGTCAATATATTTATGAAAATGTAATATATGTTCACAAAAATAAAGATAGCTTTTTGAAAAAAAGTGATGTACATGCCATAAATACCAGATATAAAAATAAATTTGTTGTACCCGCCTCTAGGCTCCAAAAGATAAACAAGTCTTTTCGAGGTCAATGTGTCCGATTTTATAATAAAATCCCAAATAATATTCAGGAGTTGAGTATTAACAAATTTAAATCCGCAATAAAACGTGGCTTGTGCCAGAGGGCCTACTACTCGATTGTGGATTACATGGAGGACAAGAATGCTTGGGATTAATTAGCGCAGGCTATTTCTTTCTTAAGTAAAAATGTGGTGTGGCTAGTATGTTTTTTATTATTTTTTCTATTTTTTATGTTTCACTTCATTTTCTCTTGTATTCGTTTGTTCTTCTTAATCTTGTTTTCTCTTCGTTGTTTTTTCACCTTTAAGTCCTTAATAACGGACATACTAGCACACATCAAAACAATGTTGTGATATATTTAATAGTGCCATTGTATCTACTTGTGAATTGCAAAAGAGTGGCCATGAGTTTGTTTGCCCTTTCTTCTCATAAGGCTCAACCCCTTGGAAACGGGCGGTTGTAGATCGGCACAGGCATATCATAGATTTTGTATGGGTTTGATTTTGTTAAATTTATTTGGTTACTATTTGACAAAACAGAGATTGTTGCTTTTGTGTGTGTTGATCTATGACTTTAGAGTCTACATGGAAGACGATTTCAAACAATTTTGAAAATTTTATGAAATAAAGAAAGTTTGAGTTGAGTTCTATCTGACAATCTAGCTTACATAGTGCGAGCTCCGCTTAGTTTGGAACTAGATGGCGTTGTATATTATTATGTTAATACATAGTACAGGCTCTGCCTACTTGGGATTAGATGGCCGTCTGCTAGAGTTTAAATCTAGACGGCGGTACGTAATGTATCCTGGAATATTATTATGACTTTGATATTTCGTTTACAGCCCTGGATGGCGTCAGCTGCGATGGCGATGAGTTCAGTATCAGTAGTGTGCTCCAGTTTATTGCTTAAAACGTAAGTATTGTTATGAGCTGAGTATATAAATAGTAAAAGTTGTCAGTTAATTACTTTATTTCACTGTATTTACAAACACACACTACTAGGAATCACTATAATTATATCTTCTTAGTCGCACTAGAAATTCACTCCGATGTTAACTCGATGTGTCGTAAAACGAAACTGTGTCGAACGACCAACACGCTCCGCTTTTATTGCGCTTTTGAATTTTACTAAAAAGTTCTTAGTGTTCGACAGTTCGTTCCAGAAAAACAAGAATATTCCAGAATCAGTCACGCGTTACGTGCAGCGCCATCTAGCGCCGTAATGATCAGAACTACTCGTATTAACTGCCGGATCTTAATAGATGTACTTTAGTCGATAGATAGCGCTGTCCTCCACATTTCATACAACCGAACCATTTAATCCTATGGCCCAACAGTATATTATTTATGTATAACTTATAGTAATGCCACTGTTTTTCCCTCGGCTGGCTAGGGTCACTCCGCACTGTAGGTATGAAGGTAAGTTTCATTGAAACCTTAACATTGGAATAAAAAAGTTAAGCCATAGAAAAAGATGCGATTGCAAGGTTAATATCATCATGAACAGCCTTCAACAGTCCACTGCGGGACATAGGCCTCTCCTTAGAAATGAGGTTTTGGCCTACTATACCACGCTGACCAGACGAGTTGGTATAGGGTTTGTGACGAGTTTTCCTTCTCTTTGCAGTGCTGTTGTCCTTCGTAGATTGCTCCCTTAGTCGGCTCTTACGACACCCACGGGACTAGTGGGGGTGGTGACAACCCGTATTCTTAATCCGTCACCACACGGATACAAGTTAAATATCCTGTAGGTAATTAGTGCTGTGCAAACTGAATTACACTTCATTGTGTGGCAGCAAGGTCTATATTTGTTTAAAAAATATATATGGAGTCAGTCTTCTGTACCTGGACTAATATATTTTATGTCGTATTTGATGATGAGGGTGAAGTGCACTTGGTCAGACCAGCCTAACTGCCTCTGGGTCTTTTCCCCTTCAATCTTTCCTCTGACCATCTTTGAAGATAGTTGCCTTCTTTCGGCGCGATGTGAATAAGGTGGATTGACTGCACGGATGGCTTAGTGGTTTAAGCGGTCGCCACGACGCTCATTACTACTAGAGTGTTGTGGGTTCGATCCCCACATGGGACGACACTTTGTGTGATCCACAAATTGTTGTTCTGAGTCTGGGTGTTCTTTGTGTCCGTTTCATGTATGTTTGTAAAGTCCCCCGCGACACAGGATATATTCTTAATGCGGGCGTTGACTTTAAAAATAAAGACATCGTAGACGATAGATAGTGCACACGTGCAAGTAAAAAGAAATAACTTGGTACTAACGTACTCTTTTTATGGAATTTTTAAAAATCCTGCTAAGGTACACACTTACGTCACCTAAGGAATATTTGTGCAAAATTTGATGCTTCTAGACCCAGTGGTTTCAGCTGTGCATTGATCTATCAGTCAGTTTGTTCTTTTATAGATATACTCGCCCATTAAGTAAATGTACCCCTCTCTCTAGAGACCTTGGAAGCTAGCAACACATTTGACGGGCCTGTTGGTCTAGTGGTAAGTGACCCTGACTGCTGAGCCGGAGGTCGTGGGTTCGATTCTCACCCAAGACAAATAATTGTGTGAAGATAATGATCATTTCATAAATATAATATAAGTATGTTTATCAGCAGTCTCGTTACCATAGTGCGGGCTCTGACTAATTTGGGATCAGACGGCCGTGTGTGTGAGATTTGTGTCAGTTGTACCTATATCATACAAACAAATAGTTATAAATATAGTTGTATATGATTTTGCCATTCACAAAATATTTATTTCAGTTTCAAGAAGCCCTCAGTGGAACAGCTGAGGACGCCAGAGTATCTCCAATCTATTCACCTGGAAGACTTAGACTCGGTGTCGGTCCACAGGGGTCTGGACGAACGGATAGACCCCAGTGAACGGGGGGCTTCGCCACTCGCTAAGTAAGTATATTATCTAAAAAGAAACCACTTGACTTCCCTCCACTATTCTAGCGACTTGATTTTACGTGTTTTCTTATGTGTCCGGAAATCGAACCGACTATAGCCACAACTCTCTGAATCTATCCCTAACCCAACTTTTATAGGAGTTACTTAGAATATTGAACATATTACTAATAAACTTAATAGGGTATATTCCATTAATAATAATATTATAATTATTTGAGCTAGCATATGACGTCACGCCTTAGTATTTCATACAAGTGTGGAGTGTAATTTAGGAGCCCTTAGGATCCTACAACTCCTTTCTTCTTCACATTCTATCTCCTAAACAACACTAGTATTATATATGTATTGATGTTCTCTCTTTTATTCTCTCTCCAACTCTAATTGTTTCTTTCTCTTCCCTACGCAGAAAAAACCGCGACTCTTGGAAATCAACTCTGTTGAACATATAAAGTATGTAGATAGATATTATTTATGTGTATGTGTTTGTGTCTGTCTGTTTGTTTTTCATCCGGGCTCAAGTATTTTTTTAGATAAGTGTTATTTCAAGCATGCTTCATGTAAAAATCATACAGATAATATAACATAGGGAGCGAATTGTATATTAGACAGAGAAAGAATATTATTTTGGTCTTACATCTCTCTCTCCTCTCTGCACTGATTGGCTGATACTAAAGAGGACATTTGAAACAGCCAATCAGTGAAAAGAGCAGAGAGAGATACAAGACCAAACAATATTCTTTCTATCTCTACCAACCGTATGCCATAGCGCCTTGTTCGCTTCCTCTATATTAATAAGCTCTTTGGTAAAAATACCACATCCTCACCGAAGACCAGAAGGCCAATTCTCGTAATAAAAGTTCAACTTTCGATCTCACAACTGTCATAAAAGGTATGTTCGTATAGGTAGTGTCGTCAAAGGAATTGGCCTTCTGATGTTAAGCAATGCTTAGGGTGCTTTTTACAGAGTAAGTGAGGTTACCAAAAGCTTCACATCACATCAACAGCCTATACTAGTCCACTGCTGGACATAGGCCTCTCCTTAGAAAGGAGGTTTTGGCCTTCTATACCACGCTGGCCAGACGGGTTGTTATAGGGTTTGTTTCAAGTTTTCCTTCTCTTTGCAGTGCTGTTGTCCTGCTTAGTTTGCTCCCTTAGTCGGCTCTTACGACACCCAT